TATTCTTTAGTTAAATTATGGCCACCAATATATGATTGCATATGGGAGCATTATATATTTACATATGTGTGGATTTAATTTTTTCTTTTGAGTTGTATGCAAAAATATTATGCACATAATCACTTTTAGATTGCTATATAAACAATTTAAACTTCATTGTGTGTGTAATATTTTTGTCATGGGGTATGCCATGTATGCATAGGTCATGACATTTTATATTGTCACATAAGACTGATGCTGCATCATCTTAAAGAAAATGGCATCATCACAAATTTAATGTTAATCATGTGCTATGAAATTTTTAATATTGTAATGGTTATTTGTGCAAAGTGATTTTCATTACCCTCACCAAGCAAACATCCCTGAGCACACAGTGATTGAATTTAACTTATAGTATTTAAAATATGCTTAAAATCTAATTTGTGTATTGGAAAATATTACATCCACAAGCTTGAAATCTAAACTTTACTAATGTGTCAAACTATATATATATATATCAAACTTCCATAATTTTTTTTATGTCAAATTGCTTACCTTAAGTATACCTCAGGTACAAGGGAGATATACCCCAAATTTTATAATAAAATAGGTAAAATTAACTTTATTATCAATAATAAAGTACAAGCAAAGGTTTGGATTTTAAATTTTTATAAAAAATTAATAAATAAATGAAGAAATAAATTATACACTGTCATGGTATACTAATCCTTGATTTAAATTAAATTTAAAATCTACAATCTACTAGATAAAATTATGTTAAATACAAATTTTTAATGCAGCCCTAAGAACTGGGGAAGATGATCCTGATGCAGCCTCAGGCGCGGGCAGTGCTCCAGATTCTTGTCAATCGATCCCGAGTGTAAGATGATATGAGTCTCCCTTTTCTGTCCTTATCTTTTCGACATTTCTTTCAGGATTTCTAGCAAGCAGGAGAAGCCTCTGGAGATTGATTTCCATCTGGTGGAGTTCAACGATGTCCGCTACCACATCCTGGTGAGAAAGAAGCTGTAGAAGGACTTCTCAGTCTAGTTTGGTTTCTTTCTTCTTAGTCCGTTGCCAAGGAGCCACATTACATGACGCTCTCGCTCGGACTTCCACTTCCAGCTCCCGAGACTGTTTTCTCTGGTGATCTTCCACTAGGTGCCGTGGAAGCTGTGCGGGGTGCTTATGGATCTCTCGCACAAGTCAAGGAACCACCGGAGATGGGCTACAACTTAACTCTCCGGATCGATCTTTCGCAACTTCCAGCAGACGAGGGTATTGCTTGTCTTTCTCCAGCTTTTTGAAGAAACTCACTGTGATCAAGTGCTAGAGGATTGCTTGCAGGTTTTGACGAAGTTTGCTTCGGTTCGCTCGGTCGTGCTTGGAGCTCCACTTCGAGAGATTTTGAAGCACCTAGCGATGAACACCGTGTCGCCTGACGCCGACCGCTTGACTGCTCTAATGCACCGTCCCAGAGAATCCTTCTTCCTCGTTCCACAGGTTTTGCACTTCCTTCTTCTTTTGCTTTTCGGAGAATTACAAGCCCGAACTCCAGGCTGACAAAGTGACCGTGATTTTTCCTATGCGTTTCAAGGATGCCAATGACGCTGTTCTCGCCACGTCTTTTCTCCAGGTTTCTCCATTCTGACAATACTGGGTTAAGTCTAGTCTCGGTGTGTTACAGGAGTTTATGGAAGCTAGACGAACCGGGGGTTTAAACACAGCTCCTCCATGCCTGTGGTCTTCAAATCCTCCAGCAGAACTTCAGGGAGTTTCCGGTCTCGCCCTCGATGCGAACTGCGGCTTTGTTTCATTTGGTATGTAACTCGAGCTTTCCTGGTGATTAAATTCCACCCCGTGTGTAACCAGTTATCTTTGCGAGGCATGTCGAGGGCGACAAATTAGAACGAACAGTGTGGAACCTGTCGACGTTCCATGCCTACGTGAGCTACCATGTCAAGGTCCGTGTTTTGTTTTCCATTTTTTCTCCATTTCTCTCTCTCTCTCTCTCTCTCTCTCTCTCTCTCTCTCTCTCTCTCTCTCTCTCTCTCTCTCTCTCTCTCTCTCTCTCTCTCTCTCTCTCTCTCTCTCAATCTTTTGCTGTATACTCCTTGCAGTGTGCCAAGGCTTTCATGCACACGCGGATGAGAAGACGAGTGGAGAGCCTTATTCGGTGAGCTCTCTTTTTTCCTTTTCACCATTGCTCCTAACTTTGTGGAGTTCTCTCTTACGTCCACGCCAGGTTCTCAACAGAGCCAAACCCGACTTAGAGAAGGATAAGAAGACCGCTCAAGGCCGATCTTTCAAGAGATCAGTGTAAAAGTAGCACAAAATCGGAGTGTACTAGATCCTTACGTGCCAAGGAAACACGTTCGTCCCATTGTAATCATAGCTCTAGATAGAGCCAAGATCTCTGATAGATAGATCGCGAAGAAGAAAGTCCTCGCGGAGCTCTCGCTCGAGCGCCTCACATTTCCAAGTCATCGTCACGTCCCTTCTGGAGCCCATTAATCTCGTGCACAAGCGCTAAAGGTAAGAACGGCCCGGACCATCCCGTACAAGTCTCGTGCGCGTCACCGTGTTACTTTGAGCCGAATGGAAGGTAGAGCAAGAGGCTCCTCGAGGCAGCAGCAAGATCGCACTCTCTTGGCTGTGGCGTGAATTCTAAATCCTGGCTGGTTGAATCGGCCGGCGGTCTATTGCAGTGTGACGCATTTGTGGAATTCCCGCTCCAGTGAAGATCATTATGGTGTTCTTCCTAGCGAGGAGCTTGTAGTGATCCATCTGGCTGTGGTAACAGTGAATTGTCCCGGCCTGGGCTGCGATCTAACGAGGATTATCTTCGAATTCTCGTATGTGGAGGTGGGGAAGAAGACCATCAACTCTATTTTGAGCTTTTTGCATTCAGCAGCATCCTTAGGAGATTATTTGAAGAACTGGAAGCCAAAAGTTTTACCATGAATGAGAAGCGTATCACCGCAGCTATCATCCAAGGTTTGAAGCCAGTTTTCCAGCGGAAGGTGGCAAAGTGGAAATATGTTATTTGCTAACCTCTTTTTGAGTAGGTTGAGCGGGACATGTTACCAGAGCTTGGCATGACTAGTCCAACCATCATTCTGGATTGCCTATGAATAGAGTGTAAGCGCCAAAGACAGAGGATAAGTTTGCCTTTGGTGCTAGACAATGACGGAGTTAGTGTAGTATTGAGAGCTTGTCCAGCCGCAGATGCACCTCAAGGAGCTAAAAGCCTTACACTCACAAGATGCTAAGCCATCCTGTCACCACATATTTTGCACTCAATCAGATGAGGTGCTGGATTCTCCACCCTGAGCAGCAGCCAGCGCACCCGCAACAGCAAGTGTTACAGGAGCAAGTCCTACAGCAGCCTCTAGCCAACAACTTTAGCCAACAATATTTCCAGAAAGTTGGCTGGTCCCTTACAAGAAAAAAGTGACTTAAAAAGTCAGTGTGCAATGATTTTTCTCATGCAACAATTTTCTCCTCTAGAGGAGTTACTTGATTTTGGTTAACATTTAAAACTTTTTTCCACGTCTCAAGATAAATCCTCTTCCACAGAGCCAATCCGACATCTAATCTTCTCTAGATCCCAGTGCATTTACAGCAAAGGTGTTTCCTGACAGCAAGCTTGAGAGGCTCTTTTGGACTCAGGTTCTGGGAGCATCCACATAGAAAATCATTGATCATTTGGAGCTTTCTAGCACGCCATGACATTTGCCTAGTAACTAGTCCGCTAGAAGATGTTGTGGCAAGCAATTCTGAGAATGAAGTCTGCAACAACTAACTCACACCGTCCACGCATGCAGGTTTTAGGGCCTCATTCTGCCATTCAAGATGACCATCGAGACGATCTATAACGTTTGGTTCAAGGAACTCCGCATAGTCGATTGACCTCACTGCCCGCGTCCTGGAGGTAAAATCCGATTTGCAAACACAGATGAGACTCAACAACGCGCAGTGGCAGGATGGGGCCGTCCCTTGGGAGAAATAAGGGAGGTTAATTTTTTATCTTCAACCTCCAGTACACAGTTCCGGAGCATTAGTTTGACGGCGGCGCTAAACAACTGAGAGACAATGAATCGGTGGAGGATGCAAAAAGCTTTCTCAAACTCGTCAAGCAACTTTTGTGCAATCTGTACGAGCTGGAGCATGCCGAGAGATGGCCGAACATTCCTAAGATTTTGCCAGAAATTATATGGTGTCAATGTCCCGCTGGGTCCCATGATCGTGTACATTCTTTGGTTTTCTTCGTTCTCATTTTTTTCCCCCTTTTGTCTTTTGTGTTGTTTTGCACAGCTGATATTTGAGGATCTCTTGGCTCTAGAAATTGATAGACGACTTGAATTATCTTTGCTTGGTGTTTCTGTAGGCAAGATGGCTCTAAATAGTCACCCAAATCTTGATACAAATTGGAACGGACTACAAAGGCCAAGGCGAATACGCGATGTTATGGCCTAGGCGATTGCAGCAGGTGGTACACATTATGATGTGGAACTCAAAAAAATTGGTAAACTATTCAAAATGGCATATGCAATTTTCAAAAAGAATAAGACTTTTGACGCATACTCTGTTATCCAGTGCTCTTAATAAATTTGTGGGTTTCTCTCTTAAGTCCATGCCAGGTTCTTACTAGAGCCAAATCAAAGCTGATTTCTTAAAAATACTAGCTCAAAAGTGTACTAGGAGATCCTCCAGAAGGAGCTATTCCGCCAAGGAAACGCAGCAAGTGTAAATCAAAGCTCTAGATATAGAACACTTTGCACCAAGGAAATGCAATCTCTAAGTTGATAGATAGATTGCGAAGAAAAAAGTCCTCGCGGAGATTTTAACGAGCTCGCGCGCGCTTGAGCGCCTCACATTTCTAAAGTCCCTTTTGGAGCCCATCAATATCGTGCACAAGTTAAAAGTACGGACGGTCTCGATCATTTCCGTACAAGTCTCGTGCGCGGCATCCGACGGCCATCCTCGTGCCACGGCTCCTCTTTTTCTTACGAGCGCGCTAGGGCTTTAGCGCCTTTGCTGGTAATGGAAGGTAGAGCAGCATGGGCAGGGGAGGAACCAGCGGCAGCGCTGGCCAAGGCGCTGGTTAGATCCTCGAGGCAGCAGCAAGATCGTGCGCTCTGGTGGCTGCTGTGGCGTGAATTCCACATCCTGGCTGGTTGAATCGGCGATTCCCGCGAGGTAGGCCGGCGGAGTAGCTTGTTCTATCGCAATGTGACTCATTTCTGTGGAATTTCCGCTCCAGTGAAGATCTAGAGCGATATTATGGGTGTTCTTCCGAGCGAGGAACTTGTAGTGATCCATCCTGCAGATCCGACTGTGATAACAGTGAATTGCCCCGACAAGAGAGGCCTCGGCTGCGATCTAACGAGGATTATCTTTGAATTTGGCCTGAGTCTCGTCCGTGGAGGTGGGGAAGAGCGTCCTTCTTCTTTCAGTGTTCTTACTTCTTTTGTTGACATTCTACCTTGCACAGATGTCCAAACCGATGGACGGTGGTGCTTGCTGGTGTTCTGGGCGGTGCCAAGAATCACCACCGCGAAGCCCATCCAATGGGGACTGCTAAGAAAACGAATGATAGCAGCGTGCCCGCCCGAGAACCAGGTTTTCGTGCCGGTTGATCCGGATTTCGTGACGAGTCCTCTCAAGCTATTTCTTCTCCAAGTTTACTCGGCAGATCGAGCGGGACTTCTTCATGGTACGATTCAGTCGTAAAGCTGCCAGGATTGTCAATTTATTCTTTTTTTTTTGCTCCTACCCGCAGACATGTCCAGGATCTTGTGGGAACTGGAGCTCACTGTTCACAAGGTCAAGGCTTCTACGTGTCCAGATGGAAAGGTCATCGACTTCTTTATAATCTCTGACAATAAGTGAGTGAGCAATTATTTGAAACATGGTGACCCTCTTTTTCTTATACCTTTTTTGTTTGCCCAGGTTGCTACTTCCATCGAGGGAACGGACACTAGAAGTTTGTGAACGCATAAAGAACTTGATGGGAGGCTTGCAGTCGAAATGTGAACTGAAGGAAGCGGGGCCGGAATATGGAGGTTTGATGTGCACTCCCGCATTAAATCTGCCGCCTTCGGTGTCGGAGCTACTGTCCTCCGGTGTGAATTCCCAGCAAAACGGTGACACTCCCAGAGTCACTATCGACGACCTTCTAAGTCCGGCGCACACACTCCTGCAGATATCTTGCAGAGACAGAAAGGGCTTGCTTTACGACTGCTTAAGAGTTCTTAAGGACTTCAACTATCAGGCAAGGCAAAAACTTCGTCGGTTCTAAACTAGCAACTCTCTGTTCCACAGGTTGCTTACGGTCGTTTGTCGATGTCTACTATCGACAAAGGGAGAGGCGAGATCGATCTTTTCATAACTCAAGCTGATGGAAGAAAGCTCGTGGATCCGGAGAAGCAAAAAGCTTTGTGTGAGCGGGTTGTAAGAGACGTGGCTAATCCTCTCTGGGTGACGGTATTGCCTCGAGGACCAGACTCGGAGCTCTTCGTAGCCACACCGATCGAGCTCAGCGGAAAAGGCCGTCCTCGGGTTCTATACGACGTAACTCTGGCATTGAAAATGCTCGACGTCTGTATTTTCCAGGTAAATCTTCCAAAAGTTTCATGGTGTAAACTTGTTTTAAGTTCTGCGATTGATTCAGGCTGACATTGGTCGCCACACCATCGGTGACATGCAATGGGAGATCTACCGTGTCTTGCTCATTGACTCGGGTGACCTCTCCCAGCGAATGCACGAACTCATTGGCGAGCGAGTGAGAAATGTTTTAATGGGATAGAGACAAAAAGAGGCTGGGGAGTGTGTGGCAACCATAACTTCACGATTTAAATCAATCTGTACAGAAAAACACATGGAAAAACCACAATTATATAAGAAACCACCATTATATAAGAAATGTTTTAAATACCATGGTAATTTTTCTAAACATTGGAGTTATAGTTGAGAGAAGAAAAGTTGAAAGAAATAAATTTCCATTATAAAGCACATAGAGTTGTTAAAAAATTTCGACCACCCTACACTCTCTTGAGATTAATCACTTAACCCTAGAGCAATCTTATAACTTTGACTTGTAATGTTTAATCGAAACCCTTTAGCATCTTGACAGTGGCATATCATATTTCTTGTTTTACTATTAAATATCCTAGAATATACTTAGATATTTCTAGATATTCAAGGTATATATTTTACACCTATAAACCAAATCAAATTTTTCTATAACATTTATAAACTTAAATAAACTACTTGATATTTATAAAAACTTTAATATAATATTTACCTTTTTTATTTTAAAATTTATAAGCTGAAATTTACTTTGCAATTCATACTTTAAAACTAAAACATAATGATAAAATTTTAAATAGCTAGTAAAATTTTCAAATCATAATTTTCTGTAATAAATTCTATTTTAAAAGAATAAAATCAGAATATACTTACTATAATTTATTAATGTAATATTCAAGTACCCTTGTTATCTATAAAATAAACCTTTGAATGGAAGGAAGTAGTTTGTCATGGATGCGGGATGGACTCAGGCAGAGGAAATGACTCCGCGTGGGTCTGATCGTGGCCGATTGGTTCCAAAGCAGCATAGGTACCAGATTGCTGGGAGTGGTGGCAGGGGCATTCCAGCGCTTTGGGCTGGAGCTGGATTATTCACCAGGGGCATCGTGGTTCTACGCTGTGGATGAGTCAAGTGTGTCGGAGCTCAAGTGGAAGATCTGGACTGTGGCAGTCGCCCACGTCCTCCGGGTTCCCGTCCCGGAGGTTTTCTTGCACCTCTTCATCGCGGCCGACTATTTCACGCGCCAGCGAGGTTGCTCCAACCAGCAACGTTACGGTGGCCCCGGGAACTACTGTCCTTCGTGCTCCCTTGCCACTACGCTGTACAGAAGCTTGAAGAGGTGAGTTCTCGAGATTTCTTGTGGCAAATCGGTAAAAGAGCTTGTTTTTTTTTGTCTTTTTGTCGCAGCTCAAGGCGAGAGACATTCAGACGCCAGCCACGGAAGCGATGTCTTCAGCGGAAGGAATTACATGTATGGCTTGTCTCTTTTCCTTTTCACTTCTAACCAGTCGTCTGTGCAGATCTTGTGTCGCTCATGTCCAGGAACTTTGCGTGCTCTTCTTCGCGTGGCTGCAGCTCCAGATCCAAGCAAACAAGCAGCCGTTCGAATGGCTCGACGCCTTCGAAGCTCAAGCCAAAGCCGGCGGCGGGGGGCACCTGGGCAACCTCTTGCTCTTCTTCCTAGAGACAGTGCACGCATACAGGTTTAAGGATTTCTATCTGCCACCCAGGGAGAACATCGACAGGGTCTATAACGTTTGCTTCAAGGAACTCCCGATGGTAGAGTGGCAGTCGATCGATCTCACCGCCGGCGTCCGTCATGTGTTGGAGGTAACATCCTTAGCTCGACTTGCAAAACACAGATGAGACTCAACAGGCTTCTTATTCTTTTCTTTTTTCTGTTTTTCTGGCAGGAGGTGGTGGCAGGAGTGACTCCCACATTCGAGTGGGACAAAAGCCTTCTTGTAACGGGTTCAAAGGAGGTCGCTCGTTTACCAGCACAGGCCTCGCGAGGTTCCATACGTTATGGACTTTACGGATGCAAGCTTGCAGATTGGCCGTCTGATCTACACTTGGACACTGACGAAGAAGGGGCAGCGCGACCATGCCGAGCTCCAGACGCTGTGCTCGACGGGCAACTCGATCGTGGAGCACGCACAGTCGGTGCCAGTGGGAAGCAGCGACGAGCGCCAGCTCTACCGTGCCGCCGCTGCCGTTTTCGGCAAGGATTTTAGCGGCCATTTCGTGCAGCTGTGCAGGAACGCGCAGTGGTCCCTTGCTCGCAATCCGAGCTGGGGGAAATAAGGGAGCTGGCATGGTCTTCAACTTCGAGTACAGAGTTCCGGAGCATTACTTTGACGGCGGCCCTAAGCAACTGAGAAACGAGGTGCCGTTCGGTGCCATGATAGTCTACATTGTTCACGTACGCACACTCTCTTTGGTTTTTTCGTTGGAATGTGTTTCTGATTTGTTTCCTTTTCTCTTGTGTGTTGTTTTGCGCAGCTGATATTTGAGGATCACTTGACTCTAGACATTGATCGCAAAACGTGGACAGAAGAGTGTGAGTGACATGAATTATATTTGCTTGCTGGAAGTGTTTACTAAAGCTGTTTTTGCAGGCACCTTAGCTCTAAATAGTCACGGAAATCGTGATACATATCGGAACAAGAGAGGCATTTTTATTGCATCAGATGGGACGAGGAAGAGATGTCTAGCTCTTGAGAAGCTGATAAACTCTCCCAACGTACAGAGGGCCTTGGGAGCCAGCGCTGATGAAATAGGCGATGCTGTGGTCAAGGCGATTGCAGCAGGTGGTATATATTATGATCAGGAACACAGAGATTTATGGTTTAAAATGGGCAAAATATTCAGAGGGGATTATGAGAGACTCTCAGCATATAGTATAGCATATGCAATTTTCAAAGGATTAATTTAAACAAATATAGATATCTCATCTCAAATGTGAGGGAGCGTTCAAGAGTTGAGCTCAATGGAAGTCACACCAGTTTTTGTTTGAGCTTTGTTGACTTTGGATTGGTTACGTTGACTTTTCATTGACTTTCTTTGACTTTTGAGCTACGAGCATTACATGGATATTTCCAGTGATCAAACACTGGTTTTCATGGTTCTTCTGGCTTACAGCTTTGCATATTCCAGGTGTTGCTTCCCGTTGAGCGCATTGCCCATATACGCGGTGATAAACTCCCGGAAAGTAAGCTCCCTGAAGAGAGGCTTTTCGTCCGGCACCAAGGGCTTGAGAACCGCTTCAAAGCCGGGTGAAAAGAAGAAAGCCGCCGACATTCGTGCATTTCCGGAGCTTACAGTGGCTCGGTGTTCCACACTCTTATATATTCCATTGCTCATCACCTGCGACACCACGGCAACTTCAAAGATGGAAAGGCAAGGTACTCTCTAAGTTACCTCTAATATATCTCCAATGTTGACGACGAATGCATCCGGCATGGATTTCACAGGCTTCCACTCGCCATTCTTTCTTATCTGGAGGCCCTCTACCTCGTCCTGGAGCAGTATGGTGATTCCCACGCCATCGGAGTGAGGACTTAATCCCAGCACAAGATCCGGCTCCGGACAAGGTGGATAGTAATTCATCCTCAGCGATGAATGAGCGTCTGGCCCGAAGGCGTCACCGAAAAGCTCCGGGGGCTGGCCGAGGGCTCTCGACAGTGCAGCGAGGAGCTTCAATGCGAGAGAGCGGACTTGAGCTCCATAAGCTTGGATGGTTTCTCTGGAAACGAATTTTGAAGAACACACAGGTGATTTTTTTTTTCTAGAGAGAGTTTGTTTATCTTACTTGTACTCTGCTGGATGAACAGGCCATGGGAGTGCTACAGGCGGGAGAGCGTGGAAGAAAACATCGCCCCAGTCGAGCACGGTGTCTTTGGAAGGTAAGAAATACCGTCCATATCCTTCCCTCCGCAGCTTTGTGGATGAAGCCGTGTACGACTCCTTCTCCTCTTGTGGCAGCCTGAAAAACTCGCGAATTACGCCCCTGGCGCTTTGCATCAGCGCCGGTGGAATTCCATGGTCAGTGAGCTACAAGGGCGCGGCATCTCAGACTTTTAGTCTCAACTCTCAAGAGAAAAAGAGAGAGAGATCGATCCAAGAACGAAAGATTCGAGAAAAAAGCGGGAGGAATGCTTATCAAAGCTTACCTGGAAGAACCCCCATTCTCGGCAAGCTTTATCCAGCTTCTGGAGCTCGATCTTGTCACTCAGCTGCGAGGCGTTGATCACTGGGATGTCATCGAGATCTGGCGAGGAAAACTTGGATGGGCGATCGTGAATCGGCCGCACGAAACGCTGTGGCACATGAGCGGTGCCATTTTCGACGAGGGATTGGACTGCAGGAACTCCGGAATCCATACCTTTGAATTGGCTGGTTGTTGAGGTAATAACAAGAGAATCGTTCCAAGCGTTAAGAGGCCTTTAAACTATAGCGAAGGGTTAGGGTTTTGGCAGGGACTCTGTTTTGTCCTCTCCATGGCGGACGAGCGCGCGGCCATCGCCGCGGCGCTCAATCGATTGCTGGAGATATGCCGCGGCTCGCAAGAGGTACTTCGTCTATGAATGTTTTCCTTTGCTTATGCTGGATCATGGATCGTGGATCAGGGCGTGGGAGCGAATGTGATTGAGAGTAAAATGAGCGATGTATCGGTGGACATTCGCGTCAAAGCAATCAACATTCTTCTCCAAAAAGTGAGGATTCTTTTCTTGAAGCGATGATTTTTCTCGGATTTATTCGCCTTTCATCCGCAGGGCCAGTGGCAATTGTTGAATAAGGATGGGCAGCTTTTCTACAGGGAACAATCTCGCGAAGAGGCCACCAAGTATGATCTCTGTTCCTTTGAGGCGTCTAAACTTTTGAGTGTGATACAGGCTGAAAGGCTTACAAACGGAAGATTTGCTGGTGTATCAGGCGATCCAAGCTGCGAAGAACGACGGTATCGATGGAAAAATTGTGGATTCCTAAAGCTTGGTTGCTCTTGTGATGGCCAGGAATATGGACGAAAGAGATAAAGCTCTCGACGAACTTACAGCAGCCTCAAGTGACAAAAGCCATAAAAAATCTGGAAGTTCGAAAGCTCATCAAACCTGTGCCTACTACGCAAGTAAGTCGCGGGAGCTTCGTTTTCAAGAAATCTTGCTAGCTGAATTGAAGTTCTCCCTTGAGTAGAAAGGCAAGAAGGTTTACATTCTCGCCGAATTGGAGCCCTCGGCAAAGCTGACTGGTGGAAGCTTTTACAAAAACCAAGAGTTTGATGCGGAGTTCGTCAATCTTCTCAAGCAGCAGTGCCACCAGTTCATCGCCAAGCAAGTAAGCTATGAATTTCTTTCGATTTCTTTCTTCTTACACGAATGTTCTTTCAAGGCTGGCGGTGCCAATGTAGATCAAGTAGCAAACTTCACAAGGAAGTCGGGGCTTTCGAACGATCTGAGCCTTAAAGATATCAAACAGGTGAAACAAATTCCAAGCTTTCGTCGCTGTCGCTCATTGTGACTGGTAGATTTTGGATATGTTGGTGCTCGATGGAGAAGTCGATGAAGTTGGAGCTGGAGTAAGTCTTACAAAACGTAGTAAGATCTGGATTCATTTCTTGCTACTTTTTCTTTTCACGCAGGCCTACCGTGCCTCACAATCTAGAATTTCCGACTCGTCTGCGATGACAAATGTGCCTTGCGGTGTTTGTCCCGTAAGTTCTTGCGGAAACTCTTGTTTTTTTCTCTCTCTTTGTTTCCATTGTTTTCATTCTCTCAATGCTCGTGATTTTGTCACAGGTGATCCACGAGTGCTCGCCCAATGGAATCATTTCTCCAAAGACGTGCGCGTACTACCAAGAATGGCTCAAGTTCTAGTAACGAAGAAGAGTAAGTTCGTGTAAGACAATGCGAGGGTTTAGGGTTCTTATGATAGGTCTTGGCAGGGCGCCGCGAGGAGGAGCGAATGCTGCGACGCCGCCGGGCGCTGGAGCTCCTGCTGCTCCATCCGCGCGGCACGGTATCATGCTGGCAGCTCGCCCACAACAAGATGCCGCCGTGGGCGGCATTGGTCCCGCCGGGCGCCAAGATGTCGCGGCACCAGGGCCGCGTCGTCAATCAGCTCTTCCCGGTCGTCAATCTCCGCCTCGCGGTGAAGCGCTGCCCCGATGGAGCCCTGCCGGTGGAGGAAGGGTTCGTGGTCCAGCAGGGCACCAGGGCGGAGTCCTACTACATTACTCGTTCCAGGAATCAGGCCAAGGGCGTGGTGAGGAGGCTGCTCGAGGCGACGGAGGCGGCGTCGCCGGTGCTCACAGTCGCCGGGAAGAAGGTGAGCATCGTCAATCGCCAGGTTGATCCGGCGGCCGTGGTGAGGGAGCTGGATCGAGCCTGGAAGCCGCTGGAGCGGCCGCTCAAGCAGAAGATCGTGCTCGGGGTGTTGGGGGCTGTCCGGAACTGCTCGGCCGGGCTGCATTTCTTCCACTGGGCTCTCCAGCAGCCGGGGCTGGAGGTGGACACCGTGCTCTACAATGGTCTCGTGGAAATGCTTGTCAAGAGGGGCTACTTGGATCAAGCTCTGCGGCTCTACGAGAAGATGAAGAGGCCCGAGTTTGCGAGAGGGGGGTGTGCACCGGATGGAGAGACGCTGGCGCTGCTCGTCCGGCCCCTTTGCCGGTCGAACTTCGAGACGGCTCTCTCGCTCGTGAACGAGGCTCTGGACGGGAGGATGGAAGTTGGCGATGATCTCCTCCACGCGGTGATAGTTTGCCTTTGCAAGATGCAAGGAAGGCTGCCACTGTCGCTCAGGTACTTTCACAGAATGAAGAGCCCCGGTGATGAGACTTACCAGCTCTTGGTGAGGACCATGTCCAAGGAGCAATATGTCTACGAGGCCTACGATCTCATTGTCTCGATGGAGGTTGGCAAGGGGTTTCCCACGGACGACGTGACTTACCACTTGCTCATCGCCGAGTTTTGCCGGAGGAAGGAACTGAGCCACGCTCATGTCCTGCTGCACGACTTCATGGACCGGGGAAGGATCCCGTCGGTGCTGAGCTTCAACGCGGTGCTGGAGCTGCTGTGCAACAAAGGCGACCGGGACGCGGCCGAGAAATCGTGGAACCTGTTCCAGTCCATGAAGAGAATGAGCGTGGCTCCCAACACGGTGACGTACTCCATCCTCTTGCAGGCGCTCTCGAATGGCAACCGTGTGGACCAGGCCATGATCCTCCTCGACGAGATGCTGCGGAGCGGCTGTATGCCGGGCTCCATCACTGGCAGCGCGCTCGTCTCGGCTCTGGCCAGGGCCGACCGGGTGACCGACGCTCTCGACTTGGTACTGAGGATGCACAGGGAGTTTCACACTCGGGTGGAGTTCCAGGCCACCTCCAACACAGTCTACGGCTTCCTCCGGCTCAAGCCGATGAAGACGTGCGTCAGCGCCCTCAAGAAGCTCCAGGAAGTGAACTTCACCCCGGACTTGGCCATGTACGACGTGGTGATCGAGATGCTGTGCGAGCGAGACATGATCAAGGCGGCCATGCTCTACTTCAGCGACCTCAACCGGAGGAGCGTCCCGGACGTGAAGTCGTACGAGCCCCTGGTCCTGGCGTTTTGTCGAAACGGGAAGCTACCGGTGGCATACAAGCTCTTTCGGCACATGATCGTGAGGGGGTGCGATCCGAGCCTGACGATCTACAAGGCGCTCATCACGTCCTTCTGCCGCGGGGACAAGCTGGACGACGCGTGCAAGCTGCTCGAGTTTATGTTCAACAAGGACGTGTACCCGGACGAGGAGCTGTACAGGACGGTGCTGGAGGGGCTGGAGAGGACGGGCAATGGACAGGCTTTCGACGTGCTGAAGAACGCGCTCAAGGAGTCGGCGGATGGGAGCCCGGGCGAGGTGATGTTTAAGGCCGTGTTCAAGCTTCGAGGATGCGTGAGGCCGGCCAAGGACTCCAAGGTGAAGAAGGCTCGCTCGCCCGGCAAGAAGCAGCCAGTGGCGCCAGCGGGAGGAGGAGCAAGGATGGAGAACGAGACCGAGGCTGCCGAAGTGGTGGACGTGGTGTCCGGGCCTCCTCCGGACGATACACCGGTGAAGGTGGTGCGCTTCCCAATGAGGTTTAGCGACTCGGACCCGGAGAGCACGTCCGGGGACGAGAGCGACTGAGTTTTTTGCTCGTCTCGCCCGGCTGGAGCCCCATATGTTTTTCGGGTATCTGGATCACAGGGAGCAAGGACCGACTTATACTCCCTACACTCTTGGACTTGGGAGTTGGAAGTCGAGAGTGTTCATGGAGTTTAGAAATGAATCTTGGAAGCTCAGCAGTTGCGTTAAACCATCACAAACTCCGAAGACAAGAAAGATTTGTTTGACCGAGATATTAGCCGCCAACGACAAAGACGACACCTTGTACAAAGCAACAAACGTACTGAGAGATGCCCAACTTGGGCATATGCTCTAATGCAGTGGGTGAGGAGATTCCATCCTATCTCAAACCATTTGCTTTCATGGAATTGAATTTAGAAATGAAAGAAAAAGTCTGTGAGCTCAAGCCAGTAATGAGTTGGGATCTGTGTGGGGTAGAACCATTTTCAAATATTTATTTGCCCAGAAAGCATCCTCACTTGCATATTCATCTCCCAGGTCTTTGCTTGGAGAAAAAGTAAAAAATTTATTGCATAAAGTTCCATTTGTTTTCATGGAATTGAGCTTAGAAATGAATGAAGTAAAACTCTGTGAGCTTAAGCTAGTAATGAGTTGGCGTTAAACCATCATGGGAAGGCAAAGATTGAATTGCCCGAGACATGGCCAAAGACAAGGATGACACACAGAAAACAACAAACATCCAAGCAAAGGCCTGGGAGATGCCGATTTTGGGCAGGCGGTGAGGATATTCGCTGGATAAGTCCATCGCATCTCAAACAAATGTATATGAAAGTGGTTATTAAGCACCATGACACAATCCCATCGTTTTATGATGCTTCTTAGCTCCTTCTCAGTGCTCGTCTTTGCTAATATAATATTCTAGATCCAAATCTTGGCAAGGCTGATCTTATCATCTTTGTAGCGTCACTCTCTCTTTTGTTTTTCTTATGATAAAACAAAAACAAACTCTACGATTTCCACACCGAGCAGAAGGTAACCGGCCGGTGCTTCCACAGCAAAACCAAGCAATTATCCTCGTTCCGAAGCTCCCAGTTCACGTCGTTCTTCTTCACCAGCATCCGGGCGGTCTCGACGATCTCGTCGTGCGGAGCCTCGGCCTCGAATCCGGCACTCCTCATCCTCGCGTTCCAGCTCTCGCGGCTCTCGCTCAGCTCCATGCCGCTGGCCAGCCTCGCCACCACGGACGTGGAGAACAAGTGCTCCATGATCTGCCGCTCCTCGCACTCGTGTCCTTTGAAAGCCCCGCTCATCGAGTCGAGGAAGCTCCAAAAGTGGCCAATCACCTCGCCAGCAACAGTGGAGAAGTCGGCGGACGTGTTGTCCGAGTCGTTCTCGCCAACGATCACCAGGTCGGGCTCCAGCTCCACGCGGACAAAGTTTAGAAACTCTTGTCTCTGGCTGCTGTCGATGTGGTTGAGCCGGAAGTGAGCACAAACCGCCAGGGCGTCGGGCTTGGCGATCGCGAACGCGTCCCGAGTGAGAGAATGCAGCGGTGTAGCGAGCATCCGCAGCTCCATGTTGAGTCCCATCACCTTCGCGAACCTTTCCAGCCTGCTTTTCACCTCGGAGCCAGAGCCGAGCCCCGAGCAAGGATCTTCGACGACGGTGAGCTTGAAAACGCTCGGAGGCCCCGACGGTCTCGTCGCAAGACCTTCGATCAATGTAGGCCACTGAGTCCCCTGAGAGTGTCCGATGTCGATGACATGTATCGCGTCCTTCCCTTCGAATGCATCCAGTAGCACTCCACTTGTCGCCGTGTAGACCACCTGGTACCACGGACTTAGATCGTGGAACTTGAGCAGAGCGTTGTGGAAGTTCTTGGCAGTGGCACTTGCGTCCAAGTTGTGATGATATGCTTGAGCGGCGGTTGGAGTCCCTGCGATTTTCCCGAACAGAGCCTTGAGACCGTAAGCTGCCAGCCTCTGGTTCGCGTCACCAGTGAGACATCCCAGATCGTTGAGCACCCACATCAAATGCTGTGTCCGTTGTACGTTGTTGGTTGCAATTGCCTGAACACAATTGTTGAGCAGCTGCAAAGCCCATTTGGACTCTTTCGCGGGCGCTTTGTCCTTAGATGACAGCTTCCCTGGAACTTTGAGTTCTTGACTGCGGTCTCGCTTGCCCAACGAGCTCCAATTCGGAGAGCATACTGGAGTAAGATGTCTGCGTTCGTCCTTGATATTTGAGGTCTGTAAAAGAAAGAACTATTAGATCGATCAATGGAAAAGCCGAACAGCTTACATCGATGGTTTTAAGAGTGTTGTCCACTTGGGTACCAGACCAAAGTTTGCTGTCGGCGAATTCAGTGCTGCTGGATGAAGCTTCTTCCGAGAAATCTAGAAGACCATCATCATTAATGTCGGAGTCTTCCATTTCCTCCAACCGAAACTGAGGTCCCATATCACTTTCCTGCATCAGCGACCATAGCTCGTCCTGGAACAACTTTGGACTATCCATTGTACTTGCGCTCTGTATGCATCTACAATATATGTCGAGGTCGGCTCTACATATGCCACTGTCCCGGCTGCAAAAGTTGACTTCACACTGCTGTCACTTGATACATCCCCGGAATTTATAAAACTCGAGAATATCCTGTTGACAGCCTGCTAATGTCAAAATAATTCGGTACTTAACGTGGCTGAGAGGGAGTTGGCCCCGGCAGATTCTCCAGAAAACCAATAACAATCCCCGAGGCGCACGGGCAACAGTATCCTGATGGAGCCAGCAGCTGAAAAATACTCGCATTCTCTCCGCCGGGCATCTCGGGAGTTGTCCGTCCGTCCTCGGACACTGCCAGGGGAGATGCATCACGAGAGAATACCAAGCAGTCTCCCCTCAAAGGAGCGAGTCAATTGCTCAGTTCCAACGCGCAGACACACTCGACGTGTGGCGTATGGGGAAACATATCTATAGGCTGGACGCTTAGAAGCCGGTAGCCACCAGCTAAATCGGAGCCATCCTGCAGAAGCGGAACAATAAGCGGAGATAGTTCTCACGGCATCTTGTACCTTGGAGTGACATAGCACGTCAAGGTCCCGAGCACATGTTGCCGGATTGCAGGAAACATACACTACTCTTGCAGCGCCGGACTTCAGGATGAATTGTAGTAACTTCGGATGCATGCCAGGTCGATTCGGATCTGCGGAGAAATGTATCTCTTTTCATCAGGAACATTCCAAACAGCACTACAATGAGAAAAAACCCAACCAGCAATAATGATATCGGGCCGAGGAAAATTTGCTCCGAATCCGGAAGTAAGTTTGTTCAGGTCTCCCTGAATAAATGTCGCGTTTAAAATGTTGTTTCTGTTCGCATTGCGCCGGGCGTTCGCAACAGCCTCCTGCACAAGTTCGTAGCCATAAACATGGTTGACCCTACACATGGAGGTTGATTCAACAAAAAACAGCCACAGTTTATATCTTACTTATTTGCCATTGAGAGGCCAATAGTGCCCGTGCCGCAAAACAAGTCCAGCATATTCATTTCGCTAGAGGCCTCCGTCAAGTTGCATGCTTTTTCCACAACTTCATATAGAACTTCTGCCTACAGAAGAATATTGAGTTAGATTGCGCAACAAAATCTAAGACTAGATTTTACCTGTGATGTGTTCGTCTGAAAAAAAGAGTTGGCAGAAATCTCAAAAACGAGGCCACGCAAACGTTCCGTAATGGCTGGAGCTCCATACAGAAGATACTGTTTTTCACCAACCCCTGTGTTGGCCATTGAGGATGTCACATTATTAACAATGCTAGTCTGCAAGTTGGACATCAGGAACAAAATATAAAAGCATGTAAAAGAAATGTACCCACCACTTCAGAGTAAGTTACAAGCTTCTCTATCAATGGTTTTATCACACGGGGATGGTGCACCGAAGTTACGATATTAACCATCACTTGCAGCTTCCCTGTGTGTTCGTCACTAGGTGAAAACGTATTAGGCAAGACCGAGAGGTATCACTCACAGACTTACTGGCCGGATCTCAGTGTGAGATGACGAAGAAACCCGCTATGCGTCTTTGTATCATATGCTGAAAGATCATTCCGATGAGTTTCGCAAAACGTATGCACGTCTAAGAGTATCTTGAGAAGAAAAAAAAGGAAAAAGCGATAAGAAAGTAGAACAGCATCTTGGCAGTCCCGCTCACCTGGTTCGCAACGTCATGTTGCAGAAGGCATTCTCTAATGTCCAGGATTTTGTCGTAGCTCCCAGGTACGTGGAGCCCAAGCGCAAAGTCCTCCTTAATATCTGGTGACTGGTTCTTCACAAACTCGTTGGGTGGCAGCCATCGAGTTCCAAATGAGAACTCCATCTAAGGGAAGTGCACGTCAGAACTCTTGAATGGAAACAACCGGGACTGCGTACCTGTGTCAGGAAAACGTTCAGCGTTTTAAGCCTCTATGCTAGAGGAGAATTTCACCTTGTTCCTGTAGTGGTACTGATTTGCACAAGGCAAAATCGGTTTCAAGTAGCTGCCACTGCCCGACTCCTCACTCCTCCCAAACCTCCCGACTCGTGAAATGAGCTGATGGACTTGGTCTTCCTTTGCAGCAAGCTGGGCCTCATAAGATAAGTTTTGTGTTCTACAGCCACCGCAGCTTTCAGCGTACTTGCACGGTGGAGTTACTGCATTGTCGTGTGTGACGATCGTCCGCAATTTTAGAGCCTAGAAAACAAAACCATCCAGCGTAAGACGATCCCACATTGCCAGAGAATTTTTCTTCTTTCTCTTATACCTCTGCATAGCTTCCCTTTCGCTTGGTGATGCGCGCTATCAAGCGTTCTCCCGGCAATGCCCTATCACACATGACCACATACCCGGTTTCCAAAACTTTGCACACGCCCTGTCCCTTGAATGCCAGGCTCTCGCAGACGAGCTCCAGCTCCTGGCCTCGCTTGGGGAAGAACGGTACCTTCTTAGCCGGCTGTTCCTCAGATTCCGCTGCTACTGCTGCCCGATTTGCCTCGGATGAATCCTCTATCTGGAGCAGCGTCGCCGACGAGAAAGCACAAGAATGCGAGATTTCGCGCATTCGAGGGCGTGGCCAAGAGAATGGGAATGCGCGCCATGGCGCCGCGACGACCATCTCTCCCAAAACCCTTGGAAAATATTTCGAGCTTTGAATCTCAACGGTTGCGATGTGTACAAGAGACCTGGACGGCTGAGATTTGCTCCCGGTAGCCAAAGGCGAAGAAATGGCCTTTGCTCTGTGTGGAATTTCTAGGTTATGGCAGCGGCGTCACGAGCGCTATCTCCAGGTACGCGCTCGATCCGGGCACTCGCTTTTGTGTGGAATTTCCTCGCGCTGCGTGGATCTCCCAGCAATTGGGGCCGAAAGGCCGCCAATGCGAGTGATCTTGCCTCGCTTCGCGTTTTCTCGCTGGATCTGGCGAAGTCTCCTCTCTCACACACATTCTTGTGGGATGATCTCGTGCAGAAGAACAGAAGGTATTGGAACTGACGCAGCTCGCGGGCCTGGAAATTCGAGAGGACGTCTTTCTCACGGTACTGTCTCGAGCATTGCGATTTTTTTAGGGTATGGAAGCTTATAGATTGGAATGCAGCTGTGGGAGCTAATGCAGCTAGAAGCGTCACCTGTGTTGATACTCCAGCTTCTCAAGGAATTGGTTGGCACTGGTAGCGGGCTCGATGGATCCACAAACTCCGAGGCAAGTAGGAGCAGGAACTGATAGAGGAAAATCATAGGGACATAGTCGAGGAGGAAGAGAGCAAGAGATTAAACAGGAGGCGATGGCGGGTGCTGCCTCAGCACTCTTTCTTTTAGATATGAAGGGTCGGGTTTTAGTATGGAGAGACTATCGCGGAGATGTATCAGCAGCGCAGGCTGAACGCTTTTTTGCCAAGATACAAGAAGGAGAGGTACGTCCAGATTCTATTTTGTTGTTTGGTTGCTCTAGGATGTGCTCTTTTTTTTCTAGAGTGATTCAAGCTCCCAAGATCCTGTTGTTTTCGACGATGGAGTGACTTATCTTTTCGTCCAGCACAACAACGTGTACGTAATGACGGCATCCAGACAAAATTGCAATGCTGCGAGTCTCCTTTTGTTTCTGCATCGAGTTATCGATGTAAAGTATCCTCATACTCTTTGGAGCTCTTAAGTTACGAGTGCTGGTTGAAATCGATATTAACCTGTGTTCTTTGTTTCTGTTTCAGGTTTTTAAGCATTACTTTGAAGAGCTGGAGGAAGAGTCGTTGAGAGATAATTTTGTTGTAGTGGTAAATTTGTTTTTTCTCCGTGACTCTCCGGTGTTTGTTCTGTTTTCTCATATTTTTCTAATTGCATTTGCAGTACGAACTTTTGGACGAGATGATGGACTTCGGATATCCTCAGTTCACGGAAGCAAATATTTTGAGCGAGTTCATCAAAACAGATGCCTACAAGATTGAAATCACTCAACGTCCTCCCATGGCAGTGACAAATGCAGTATCCTGGCGTAGTGAAGGCATTCGCTACAAAAAGAACGAGGTACAAAAACTACGGTTTTAATTGTCTCGCTTTTATCGTGGATTGCAGGTTTTTCTCGATGTTGTCGAAAGCGTCAACATTCTTGTTAATAGCAACGGTCAGCTGGTTCGCTCAGATGTTGTCGGTGCTTTGAAAATGCGAACATACTTGACGTATGTTTTTTTTTTTTTTTTTTTTTTTTTGCCTTTGATTCTTGCAGTTCTAAGCGGATAATCTTTTGTTTTCAGGGGTATGCCGGAATGCAAGCTCGGTCTCAACGACAGGGTTCTTCTAGAGGCACAAGGGCGCTCGACCAAGGGCAAAGCCATCGACTTGGATGATATCAAATTTCACCAGTAAGTCATTACACCTATTGTGCTACATTGCAGTCACCACGTTTTTGAGAATAGGTGTGTTCGGCTGGCTCGCTTCGAGAACGACAGGACAATATCCTTCATTCCTCCGGATGGTGCTTTTGATCTCATGACATATAGGCTAAGTACACAGGTTGTTACACGCCCTCGATGTTTGAGTTGATTTTCTGACCATTCCTTTGATCAGGTGAGACCTTTGATATGGGTGGAAGCTCAGGTCGAGAGACATTCTCGGAGTCGCGTGGAGTACGCAGTGAAAGCCCGCAGCCAGTTCAAAGAACGCAGGTATTTGAATAGTTCGCATTTCCAGTCTCATATGTTTTCTCTACTCTTTGCAGCACGGCAACCAATGTCGAAATTGAGCTGCCGCTTCCTGCAGATGCCACCACACCCAACGTGAGAACATCCATGGGCTCATCAGTCTATGCTCCCGAGAAAGAAGCCTTGGTATGGAAGATCAAGTCATTCCCCGGCGGCAAGGTACTTCAATCGCTTCTTCTTTCAAACTCTCACGACTTTTTCGCTCAGGAGTACATGTTGAGAGCTCAATTTGGCCTGCCAAGCATTGTGAGTGAGGAGAGTGTGCCAGAGAAGCGTGCGCCAATTCGAGTAAAGTTTGAGATACCTTACTTCACTGTTTCAGGAATCCAGGTGAGTTCTTCGAGCTAAAAGCTCCAAGGTTTTCGTTTGAGTTTGCGTTTGTTTCGCTTGCTTCCAGGTTCGCTATTTGAAGATCATAGAGAAGAGTGGCTACCAAGCATTGCCATGGGTGCGTTACATCACAACAGCGGGCGAGTACGAGCTAAGAATGATCCAATACTAGACCTTCGTCTAGTTGTGGTCCTTTTTTCTGTCAAATAAGTTTTTGGGTTTTCCCGCCAAAATTTGAGTGCCTAGGTTTAGGGTTTTTGAGCTGGGGCATGGCGCGATAGCTACGCCATGGAGCAGTCGCAGGAGCTCTACCAAGCGCACAGGCGGGCGTTCGTCGATTTCCTTGACCACGATGTGAGTTCTTTTTGCTGCGAGGGAGAGAATGTGAGCTCCATTCTGTGATTTCCAGGCCGGGCATGGCGCTTATGTGGAGAAAATCCGGAGTATGATGTCCCAGGGAAGGCACAGGCTGCTCGTCGATCTTAGCGACCTCCGGAACTTTGACAATGATCTTGCTCGAAGGTCTGTTCTCCCGAAATTGGAATTTTGAGCTGTTTTAATCGGTGATTTTGGGAGTGGCAGGGTCATACGAGCTCCCAACGAGTACATACAGCCTTTTACTGACGCTGCTAACGAGCTAACAAAGAATGTGGATCCCAAGTACTTGCTGGAAGGAGAGGAGATTCATGTTGGATTCGAGGGCTACTTTGGCTTTCACAAAGTCACACCCCGCGAGCTTCTTTCGCCATTTCTCGGGAGCATGGTTCGGGTGGAAGGGATCATCACGAAGTGTAAGGCTTTGCTGTAGTGCTTTTTTTTTTTTTTTTTTTTTTTTTTGCTTCGTTTCGTTTTTTCTTTTCTTTTTTATAGCTTCGTTTCATTTTTTTTTTACCAGGCTCGCTTGTGAGGCCCAAGGTGGTCAAGAGCGTTCACTACTGCCCGACTACTGGAGATTTTACAACTCGAGAGTATCGGGACATCACTTCCTTTGTTGGTCTTCCCACAGGATCTGTGTATCCAACTAGAGTAAGTTATCATATTTTTTTACCAGATTTTCACTCGTTTATTTTGCTAGGATGACCATGGGAATCTTCTGGTGACTGAGTTTGGCCTGTGCAAGTATAGGGACCATCAAGTCTTGTCTATTCAAGAAATGCCCGAAAACTCAGCACCAGGACAGCTTCCCCGCTCTGTGGATGTTATAGTGGAGGATGATCTGGTCGATGTGTGCAAGCCTGGTGACCGTGTTTCTATCGTCGGCGTATACAAAGCGATTCCTGGCAAATCCAAAGGGAGCATCAACGGTGTTTTCAGGTGAATCTCTCCTATCAACTTTCGTGAAACCGCTCATGAGAAGTTTACTGTTGCAGAACCATCGTTATAGCAAATAACATTGCTCAGCTGAACAAAGATGCTTATGCTCCAATTTTCACAAATGAAGATCTCAAAAATATTCGGACCATTGGAAACAGGGAGGATTCGTTTAATTTACTTGCTGAGTCGCTTGCACCTTCAATATGTGGTCATTCCCTGATCAAGAAAGCCGTGCTTCTTTTGCTTATCGGTGGACTGGAGAAAAATCTAGCAAATGGCACGCACATACGTGGGTGAGCACCTCGTACAGAGCGCTATGTAGTTTCTTAACATTCTTTTGTTGCAGTGACATCAATGTCCTCCTGGTTGGGGACCCTTCCGTTGCAAAGTCGCAGTTGCTACGAGCGATTATGAGCATTGCACCGCTTGCAATATCTACTACTGGCCGAGGATCGTCTGGAGTAGGACTCACAGCTGCTGTAACATCTGATCAAGAGACTGGTAGGCCTTTTCAATGTATTTTCATAACTTCTGGATTGACTCTTTTCTTCCTCAGGTGAAAGACGTCTTGAAGCAGGGGCAATGGTGCTGGCAGACAGGGGCGTGGTCTGTATAGACGAGTTTGACAAAATGAGCGACATAGATCGTGTTGCCATTCACGAAGTTATGGAACAACAAACAGTCACGATAGCTAAGGCTGGCATACATGCGTCACTCAATGCCCGTTGCAGTGTCGTGGCTGCAGCAAATCCTATCTATGGAACTGTAAGTCTTGACGCAATGCTGGGTGACTAATCAATCATGGATGTTTGTTCCAGTATGATCGATCACTTACTCCTACAAAAAATATCGGGCTTCCGGACTCTCTACTGTCACGATTTGACCTGTTGTTTATTGTTCTTGATCAAATGGATGCAGATACCGACCGCAAAATTTCTGAGCATGTGCTGCGAATGCACCGTTTTCGAGCACCCGGCGAAGACGGAGGTAAATAGCGTGCCTAGTATTGTTTTGAATGATGACAATGGCCTTTCAGGTCTTCCCGCCGTAGGTGGGACTGCAAGAAATGTCGAGGACGATGAACATGAATTAGGAACTACGATATTTGTGAAGTATAATCGTTTCTTGCACGGGGAGAAAAGAAAACGTCAAACAAGAAATGCGCGCGAAAAATCTGCAAAGCGTGAAACATTAACGATCAAGTTTTTGAAGAAGTTCATAAATTATGCCAAGAGTAGGAATGAACCAAAGCTAACTGAAGAGGTAACTTTGTCCTTCTTGCATTTAGTGCGTTATTAGTGTTTTAACTCGCATCCTTTACAGGCATCAACCAAAATCATCAAGGCCTACGCAAATATGCGAATCCGTAGTTCTGACAATAAGGTACGTAAAGAACTGGGTTCATTTTCACATGTTTTCTCCCACAGACAGGAGGCACTTTGCCAATCACTGCTCGCACCCTCGAGACTATGATACGTCTTTCAACCGCGCACGCAAAGCTCAAGTTGCGAGGCCAAGTACGGAGTTTCTTCCCCAGGAATGACGATAACTTCATGTCTCTCATTTTGCAGGTGCTGAAGGAGGACGTGAAAGCAGCTCTAAGAGTAATGAGATTTGCTATATATCACGAAGAGCTAAACGAGATGGAAAAGCGAGAGAAGGAAAGACAACAAGATGCGGAACAGGAAACCCCGGATACAGAGAGGTATGTTCGATCAATCCTTTTCTTTGCGCAGCTCATGCTGATCTTTGTCTGCAGGCGAAAACGGCGTAGAAGTCGCGGTGAGACACCCGAGGAGCCTCCAATAACAAGGTGAATTTCATTCACATCTTGGAGTATTATCAATGCTAAACTTTCTTTTCTCAGTAATACTCAACAGGAGGGAGACGCTCCCGACGCTTCTCAAAGCGTTCCAGTTCCAGAAGATGCCGTGGATGAAACGGTTCTCGAAGATGGGGACCATGAAGTTCATGTTTCGTCCGAAAGGTTCTTGCTTATTTCTCCCTCTCCCATTCTTCGTGCTTGCCTCAAACTTCCATTTCCAGGACCGACGAGTTTAATCTAAAACTAGGACAACATCTCCAATCCAATCGACTGGAGTACATCTCAAAGGATGGGATTGCGGCAGCAGTGAATGCCGACAACCCGGCACCATTCTCACGCGAGGAGATCGATTCTTTGCTCAAGGTAAGCTAGGAAAAAATACCAATCCACTGGAACTAACGAAGCAATCAATGTGTGCTCTCCAGAAAATGCAAGATAACAACCGGGTAATGGTTGTGGACGATTTGGTTCATGTCATCTAAAACAATGTAACATATCAAAACGAAAAATGTAAAACTAGTTAACTTAAGATTCAAACTAAAACCTTTATAACTCTTTTGTAACTGAAACCATAGGGTTAGGGTTTTCCCTTTAGGGCTTCTTGTCAACTCGAGAATGTCGGCATTCAAGAACTTCTTGAACAGCCCAGTCGGTCCCAAGACGACGCATTTTTGGGGCCCCGTTGCCAATTGGGGATTCGTCGTTGCTGTGAGATCGATTCTTTTGCGAAATTTTAGCTCTAATCGATGTTTCTTGTGAATTTCTTGCTCGCAGGGGCTTGTGGATCTCAACAAGCCGCCGGACATGATGTCGAGCAACATGACGAGTGGTACATTCTCTTGGGAAATCATTTGAAACTAAGCGCATTTTTTCTAGTGTATGAATTCTTCTTCTTCTTCCTATCGATTTTCCTCTTTAAATCGTTTTATCTTTTTTCTTACAGTGATGTGTATCTACTCGATCTTGTTTATGAGATTTGCGTGGATGGTCCAGCCTCGGAACTATTTGCTCTTCTCGTGCCATGCCGCCAACGAGTCGGTCCAGCTCTATCACTTGGCGAGGATCTACAATCACCACCAGTTAAGTTTCTCGCTTAGTTTTCTCGCTGGTTCCAACGTACGATCTTCGTTCTTGGGCAGATCGAAAGGCTCTGCTGCGAAGAGCTGATGGAAGAGATGGAAGTTTTCATATACTATACTATACTCTCATCTTCGTGGGAAGTTTTGGATCTACTGCTATTGCAATCTCTTTTTCCTAACTATTACATCAACAAAATTATTAGAAGCATTCTTTCAAGTTTTCCTTCTGTACATGGAAGGCAATCCATTAGATGGATAAAATTCAGGTTAAACTTACTTGAAACATTCAGGCATTCAAGATCTCTTGAAACATACAGTAGTGAAGGCAGTAGCTTCTCAAACATCTAAGAAGTTTGTTCAAAGTAGTTAAAAGTACAAATTAAGCTAGCATTCAAGTGATTTCACCTTTTTATTTATGTGGATTTAATGTGATCTTTGGAATGTTCCCTTGGGACAGAGGCCCAAGATCTAACTAATTAGGTCTTATGTAAATCTGGTAGACCAACTCATTAAAGGAACATGTTTGTGAGAGGCAAAATGGGTGTTACACTGTTTCTGAGATACCATGCATGTGGAACTTCTGACAAAATTACCACTTGCTATAGAACATGAAATTGGGTATATAGAGGGAGTGAAGGTAGTGGCATATTGGTTGGACAAAAGGGAATTACAGGAATTCAAGTGGCAGTTTGATGAGTTAGTCAATAAGGGGTATATCATGAGGTTTTAGTGTTCGTAAAGAAGAAAGACAAGTAGATATGCATGTACATAAATTATCAATTGCTGAACAAATACACAAAAGAAGAACAAGTACATATTACCAACAATTAAGGACTTCTTGATAAGTTGGAAAAAGTAAAATAGTTTTCCCAACATGGTCAAGTTACCATGTTGGGATCATGGTAACTTGAAAAGATGTTGATTGTTAGAGACATGAAATACATTTAACTTGATCCATGCGATATAATTTGTGGACAATGGTGATGCCATTGCTCAACTTGGAGCCGATGTGCTC